GACAGGTACAAAAAGATACTAAATTCACAAGATCTGAGGCTCAAAAATTCAGTTCTCTCTATGATTATTCTCAACACTAGCCAACTTCCCACGCACTGAGTTATTTCAACTCCTACCACGCAACCCCTCCCTCTTGTGAAAATACCATCGCTTAGTGATATGATCAATACAAACAGAAGAGTTAAGATAATTTACATCGACTAAAACATTTCGCAACTTTCGTACCTATACGAGCTGGAGAACTACATGCGTCGATTAATCGCTTTTCGTTTGCGCTCACAAAGTAGTTAAACTCTTCTCTTTAATTTGAATAGTACGAAAACATGCAAATTAGTAAAGCTTTAAATCACCCCCCCCCCACCACCACCACAAAAAAAAACGGAAACACATTTCTTGTATTGGAATCAAAAGAAAACTGCAACAAAGATAAATTATTAATGATTTGGCTAAGATTGCTGTATTTAGGAACAAGCGGCGAACAGTTGGTAAAATTGTGCATGAGAAAGATTCCATGCACGTCACCATTCAAAGTCCGCGTAAATTGTATAGTCGGTATTTATTTAAACTACAATTTCATATCGGTCACATCTATACTCACAATTCACGACCAGAAAGATGTTATTAGATATAAGACTTTCTGAACAGTCAAATCTTTATAAAAGTAGATTTGGAAATCATCTATATATTAACAGCGAACTAATTTACTGTACGTCATAGACTATATGCACGACATGACACCTACAATACAATACAATTTTTATTCAGTATACCGTTGGTAATACATACATAAATATAAAATAAAGATAAAGTTACGAAAAGAAGGTACTAGCTAACTGTAATAACCAAAAGGCTAAACAAGACAGTCAGCGAATTTGATTATAGTAACAAATATATTTTAGTGGGTAAACTGAATAAATAAAACACAAGCAATAAAGATTTCAAAATGGACAATTTTGATGCTATAAGCTAATATGAATCCAATATATTATTTTAAAGTTTGTTTTTAAACTGAGATTTAGAAAGACCCTTAAGATTTTCGTCAATTGAATTCCACACATTACTGCCAACAAAACGTATATTAAATTTTCCATAGTTGGTTCTTACTTCCTCCTTGACAATATGAAAGATCTCGAAGACACAGATGATATTACCACTATAAATTTAGCAACCAATACAAATTTCAACATAATTCTTTATTCTTCAAATACTGCCACATTCACCTATATTTTCACAGTCACATAAAGAAATACATATCCAATTCAACTGAAAGCCTCCCGCTAAACTGCAGGTCTAACTATAGTCAACAGCAAGCAATGGTCTAATTCTTTCTCCATATAACACTTTGCTACCACCTCCCATTGAGCTACCACAACAGCTCATCGCTCCTGGATCGCTTATATATAAATATTAAATACCAGTTTATTTTGTAACTGTAGTGCAGCTTTCATAAAATTTAAAAATAAAACAGAAATATTACCGTTTCTCGTGTCTTTTGTTGATTATACGAATCTTGGGTGCACAAAATGCTTCTATTCGGAGAATCTAAGCATCACCATACACAGGTAAGGTGGTTCAAACAATTTGCGGCATCTTGAAGCTCGCTATAACGCTACATATACTATTAGATACTGAATATTTCTGAGTTCTGTCGACTAATTGTATAATTGGAATTTGCGACAAAGTGAAACAACACCCAAAATATCAATGACTGCATAGCATGAAACTTATTATATATTCAAGTTTGACAGATACATAACGAAACTAATCCATACAATCTGTTGTTTGTGGTTTCTTCAGTTTAATTCTGCATGGTTCGGTTTTGACCTTGGTGAAAAGAAATGACATATCTTGAAAAATACCTGATTGGCAGGAATCTGAGGTCTAGAAACTTAGTTTTCTGTATGAATATTTTCACCATTGGCTATAACTTCCCCCGCATTAAGCTATTTCAACTCATACACCAGTGATTACAGTGAGCCCACTCCCCCTTGTTAGAAATGCAGGACTACCCCCCTGACCACTGTTGATTAATATCGACAGAGACAAGTTTATATAGTTTATACTAAAACTGTCTGTACCAGTGTAGGTAGTACCAATGTGAAAATGCTGTGCTGAGTGGCTATATTACTACCTTAAAAAATAAGCAGAAGCTCGACGTTTCGAGCGAAGGCCCTTCATCAAGAGTTAGTAGCCACTAACTAACTCTTGACGAAGTACTAAGTACTAACTCTTGACGAAAGGCCTTCGCTCGAAACGTCGAGTTTCTGCTTATTTTTTAAGGTAGTAATATAACCACTCAGCACAGCATTTTTTATATAGTTTATGGTTACTGAGCTATTTCGTAGTAGATAATCAACACAATTTGGCATCTTGAAAACCTACGAGATAAATAATATTTCTGAGTTCTGTTAAGGAATTGTATGCATGATTGGTATTTGCAACAAAGTGACACAACACTCAAAATTTCAATGACGCATAGCAGGAGATTTAACGCATGACATATCAATTTTATAACTAGTAAGCAAATTTGTCTGCTATATAACTAAAATCCTGATTCCGCGTGTTTTTTTACAGTGACGTAGACTATAACATTTTTTACTCAAGCTTAGTGTCTATTTTGCGTAGTTGCAATTATAAAATTAAAAATATTTTAAACGGAAAACATTTATTTTAATTTCATAGTTGCGCAGAATTCGTTAGCGCGAAGCGACAACCAAATTCTGTCAACGTCATTGGTTGACAAAGGAAACTATTCGAGCCTGAAAATATTCGCCGCGAAAAAGTAGGATCATTGGTTCTCACTTTTTAGCGACATATTTTGTCAATCATATTGTAGTCTTCCTCGCTGCAGACAGTTTATCACATCACAGAATATATTTTTCCACCTCTCTTCACGCGAACAAACATAGTTTGCCTAGTGGAAAACGGGCTGACTTTGAACGGCACGGTATGAGTCATTCGATGAGTGAAATAAAGGTGGTACGTTATGTGCCATTTAAAATTTCTAAATACTGCAAATTTATTATTTAGTTTAGATGTTGTTTGCAGTCAGATATCTATTGTGCCCTTTGGCTTTGTTTTCCAACAAAAATTTCCCCACCTATTGGACTGATGGATAAATAGACAACAAAAAAGGTTTAAAGCCAATAAATACCAGTAATTCTTCTGTCACATAATTAGTAAATCACTGACTCTAAAGTCGGCAGAAAACAGCCTAAATAGTAAATATACATTCAATGTGTGGTCAACTCAGTTCCCTTCAAGAAACATCAACAATACTTACAGTATGTCAAGAATACATCCTTGGCCTGGGAGCCTAACTCTCATGAATCAAGTCAAAAGGCTATTTGCTCATCATTCATCAGACCTAGGCTTCCTAGCAAGGAAGGAATTTCTGATGTAATTATTGAAAGGTGTATTGCAGTTAATTTTGCTATATCAGAACAATACAGTAAACAGTGGAAACCCCTACTCCTGTCATTTCAGCAATGGAATAGTGGTAATCAACCCATCCACAAGATCTATTAGGAAATATATAGCCTGCGAACAGGCTCTTGAATTGAATTAGAGCCTGCCGGTTTAGTCAATAAAAATACGTCTGTGCCCCATCACTATTTATAGTGTTGTCAATCAAATGTAAAATACAATGTGACAAATTAATACAGACACGCCTTATGTAATAGCCTGCAAATATATGTAAATAAACAAAACGCATATCTCGTTTTCAACGCATGATTGTTTACAACATTAAAAGCATTTGTCTTTCTTTCAAACAACCCTGAAATTCCCTGAAGTAGCAATAGTAAGTAAATTCACATAAGCACCGCAACGACTTGAGTTTGAACAACTACGGCATATTGTTCATATAAGCAAAAACATCGTTTCCGTCTAGAATTTTGTTAAGAGCTTTTGACTGCCCATCCTTTACTGTAACTTTAAACAAAGATTTAGTTTTCTATAGAACTCGTTGCTATAGAACGATATTTTTTATTTGAATCTTTTGTTGTGTAAATTTAATTACCTTTTATGGCAGTATAATGTAGTTAATTCAATTTCAACCAATGGGAACCCTGCGTCGTTCTAAGCAACGCACAGACGCGTTTTTATTAGCTAGGCCTGCAGGCTCTGTCTCAAACTTCAAAAAGAGTTCAAAGAGAGCCTGTTCGCAGGCTAGGAAATATAGCAAACCTTTGCTCGGGTGAAACTGGCAACTCAGTAACAAATTCTTTTGTTAGCTTATGTCTGCCTTTTTCTAATATACAGCGTCTGTTCCAATAAAATGCAACAGCTATGTTCCAGATTTTACACAGCTAATTGTTAGTGGAGATTGAAAATTCAATCTAAAAGATTTTGACACTCAGATTTTTAAAATTGGTCTAGTAAAACCATAGAGTAAAACCAATGGTTCTGGCTGATTTTTAAACAAAATTTGGTTCACCCAAGAAGTCATTGCATTGAAATCATGCATCAGTTGTGTTTAGTATTAATAAGTTTAACGTGTCCTTACTTTAGACAACCATAACATTCGTGCTACTAGAGTCTAGACACATTTTAATAATCTAAGTGCCAAAATTCATCTCTCAGATCAAACCTTAATTCAATGCCCACTAACAATTAGCTGTGTAAAAATCTGGAACATAGCTGTCACATTTCTGGAACAATCTGTATACACCTCAAGTATCCCAGGACATTCTATTCTTTGTTTGCAATCACATGACTTTTCATCCAAATGACGGGCAATCAAACAACTAGTGGACAACTATCAGAATAGTTGTGGTGAGAAAAAATGAACGGTAATTCATCTTTTGAGTCTTAAACTGTCTCTAAACTCAGTTAATACATTAAAATTGCCGTTTTTTTATTATACTTGTCCATCAACTGAAATCTCCAAATTATGTCATTGCAAACAAAGAATTAGAATTGAGAACAATGAGAAGGACATTTAAAATGGGCTATTCTATTTATTACATGAACCCCTCCCCACCCCTACCCCCCTCGCTCTCAAGGAAGTTGGAATTATTCAGGGTAAGATTATTTTTAGTCTGGAATTCCTCCGGATAAGCAATTTTAAATTAACCATTGAAATCTTTAGGGGTTGGCCAGTGTGGAAAATTTGTATCACGTGGCGGAGCTTATATCGAGTATCGGCCACGCAATTTTGATATTTTCTATATATTTACTATTTAATTTTCGAAATCTCCGGCGTGAAATTTCCAAACTTTCCAGTCAGGGGATTGGGTATTTTGAACAAGATTCAAGTAAAAAAATTGAAATTCTTCAGGGGCAAATGCTGATAATTTTCTTCAGAGGCTATTAAAATGCTATTTAACAGGAATACTTCATGGATCACTGTAATTGTAAGTTGTTCAACATAAGTAGTTTGAAGTTTCCACTAACCATTGTTTCGCATGAATGAACGGCATGATCCAAATGTTGTTCCTTTTCTATTCAAGTATATACATCAAACTCGACATCAAACCAGCAAAGTACGTTAGTAGTACGGCAGTTTCCAACGCTATTCTTCTCTTCGTCTTTTGTTCTTTGCGAGCAATTTTCACGTGAAAATAACCGTGTTCCGCTCGACATTTGTATAACCACAAATGCTTAAAAATTTGAAAAGGTATGAGATTATATTTCAAAACGACCGCCATCTTTTTTGTTAGAAGTCACTCGCCCCAAGACTCCAACACAAGCAGCGCTGTCAATTCAGCACCTGTTTGCAGTTCACACACGTAAAAATCTGGGAAGCCTCGCAGTGCCTGGGAAGGTCGTCTCCAATTGGATGGGGGTTTTCTAAAGAACGAAGCAATGTCATTGTTCTGAACACAAAAGCAATTGTCAAGTCGAGCCAATGGAAAGCACTCTTCCTAACTGCTGCGAGGCTACCCAAAAATCTCACATCTTGTACCAAGTCTGCCAACAAGCCGTCAACAAGTTGTGTTCGCACTGCTTGTCCCAAGTTGTCAACAAGTTTGGAACAAGCTGTTAACAATTTGTAACAACCTTGTTGATATTATCAGGCTTGTTACAAGGTTGTTCCACCAAGTCCGATATTGTCCGATACAGTCATGATATAACAGTATTGTTACAACCTTGTGACGTCAGCCTTGTAACATTCTTGTTTATCATGACAATATCAAACATGTTAGAACAATGGTCAACATTCTTTTAACAAGTCTGATAATGCCATCATGCTTGTTACAAGTTGTTAACAGCTTGTTCCAAACTTGTTCCAACAACTGGGAACAAGCAGTGCGAAGACAACTAAATAAACTAATTGTCGACAGCTTGTGAACAGATTGGTAACAACTTGTTTGGAGACTTGTAACAACTTGTGCGTTTTTACGTGTGTAGTTTACGAAAATACTTTCAGATAAAAACATGTCAACCTTGATATCGTGAACATTTACAAAAAATCCCAAAAGTTTTAATTTTAGTGCCGAACAAGAGCAGGTCAAAGCAATATAAAGCAACACTTGAATCTTGATATTGAAAGCTGGGTGGGATAATCCGCGTACTTTGGTACGCCATATTACACTCTGGTACGTCGTATGTAAGCGGTATACTCTATTATATGATCAGCAAACTTTCCAATTGGGTATTCAAAACCGTAATTAAGAAATCACTGTAAATCCGACATGTCTTGGCAATAAACATGATTGCACTGATCAATTGTATGTTTTTAGTGTAGCGTAGTTTAGCGTATATACAGTACAATTGTGCTCCTTCAATTGTGTTCGAATACTTACTCGCAGTTTCTGGTTACTGAATGAGTACCTTTCAAAAACTGTTTATGTCTATGTTCTTTATCAGTTTATCTTATAACCCCGCCCCGGTCAAACGAGGATGAGAGTTGATGCGGCGAGGACGTCTTTAACTTTTGTGGGCGGCAATGTTCGTTACTTGTCGTAGGTGAGTCGTGTGCTTGATTCACACAGTACAACTCAAGTTGTAAGCAGGTTGCATGCGACAGTTTTAGGCAAAAGTTGTGTAGTGTAAATCGACCTTTAGACAAATTTCGGCATCGATTGGAACATTTTTATTCGTTGCATGCATTAGTAAGGCTTTCTTTTTCACTTTTTTCATAAAGGTGGAAACCTTGTAAACGTTTCTGGAAGGAATTACAGATTCGAATTTGGGCTAAACTGCTTGAAAACTGTTCTCGATTTCAATTCATGTGAATAACGCACAACTTTCCAAGTGCAGTTCTTGTAAAAGATCATCTTACTGCACCCCGTTCTGTCCCCGCACTGTTTGGGCAACAGCCCCCCCCCTGGCTCCGGCGCTCCTGGGTTAATGAGAGTTGGTAGTCACTCATTTTTACGGGGGACACGTCAAGCTCTAGATTAACAAAATAAAGTTTTGATGAGTGTGCCAACTTTGTTCTAACTTAGATAGAATACATGATAGTGTTGGAAAAGCATTAAGAACAGTGAAGCAAGGTTATGTGACTGTCAACTCTCATGCACTCCCATCCTCGTTTGATTCAGTCTGTAAAGTACACTATATATTCACTCACATATCCTAACTGATAATTGACAAAAATAAAACTCCAATTTCAACATTATGAAATTTTGCAAAAGTAAATAGTTCATTGAAAACTTGCAATTGTCCTGGATTTTAGCCGAAGACAGCCAACCTCCCCCGTGACGCCAGAGTGTGAGAGAATTAAAACACCCTGGGTTGAGATTCTCTAACTATATGATGATAAGCAAGAGTAGAGGAAACAGAAAAAGGAATTTCAGCAAAGAAGAGCGAGAAGAAGATTGGTCCACCCAGACGGAAAAATACTAAACAATTTTTTCCAATTCAAGGACATTTCTACTTATTTAATTCCAGCCTACCTTCCTCTATGGCCATCTCAATGGGTGTTTGCTGGGTCTAGTCCTAGTCCCTCATTTGCTCCAAATAGAACTCACAGAGTAGACTCCCTGCCTATTTGCACATGATAAATAGAGAATAATACATGGGTGCGCGGAAATACCAGATTTATTTCGAGTGTTGAACATGCTCAAAATAGAAAAACATACTATCTACTCACTTAAATGTCTTATATATACTTTTTTGCGCACTTTCTAATGGTATAGTTTATTTTTGTTTAAAGTGAACTGGAAATATTGCATTTGGTCATCATACTACTTTCATAGGCAAAACTTTAAAATACTCAAATTTTCATCTATATGAAACAAAATCAGAGTTGCCAACATACCTAGTCTTCTTCATTAATGCCTATATGTTCTGTGAAAATGTCAGTTGGCAGCTCGTAACAAAAAGTGCCATCAAACAAAAATGCCATCATATCTGAACAATTTGTTGAACCTTTTCAGGTTTTAGCCGGCCGTCTAAATCGCAAATAAAGAAAGCACGGCAAATAATAGTGGCAAATAATGAAAGCTCGGAGAAAGTTTAGTCTCCTGCAGAAGTAAAAAAAAAATTATAACTAGGAAAATCAATTATGCATAACTCAAGATCAGTAAACTCAATGATTTTCACAATAAAAATGTTTTAAAATGTTAAAAACATTAAGTTTGCTGATCTTGAATTATGCTTAATTGATTTCCTAGTTATAGGTTTTTCAATAAAAAAGGCTGAAATGCGCCTTAAAAACCATCATTCAAAAGGCTGAACTGTGCCATTAACGGCTCGGCCAGACGGGCCAGACTGGTAAATTGTTGAATGAAACCCAAGGTTTGGGCTTCGCACGAATCTGACCGGAAAATGTGGATTAAATTATGCGGTCCACTTTCTCTAGATGTTCGACTGAGAAACCTGCGCGCCAGATCTTCCATTAATATAGAGACAGAAATTCTGTTCTGACAGGTCTAGCCATTAAACGGAAAGTACCCAATATAATCAATATATATAAAAACAACTAAATTTAACCGGCAAACAATTAAAGTGGTTCTTTTATGCGAATTTTTCTGTCTATAGCCTGGCACTATTACTGAAGTGAACACAGTAAGGACGACAAAATATATTTGAAGTTTTTACTTTTTACAAACATTTATGATTGAATTTATTGTACTTCGATAAAAAGCACTTAAACAAGTTCATTGTATATACGATTAAAACTACACATCAAAAAGTTCGAACTGTCATTTAAAAATAACTATTTCTGTTATATATTTTTGCTTCTATTCTCTAAGCAAATAAGTATGCATTCAAACATTTCTCGTGTAAATTACTTTAAAGATATCAATATATATATACCTTATATAGTTGTATTTAAATTCGCGTAGCATTAGAACAATATACCCTTCCAGAAAGTACGTCACATTGGCAAAAGAGCCTCGTTTTCGTGAGGCGCATGCATTTAACCAAAGTCACATGTACAAAAAGCCAAAATGTCGTAATTTCCGAAAGGATCGGCACACGCATTTGCATGAATTAAGTTGAAAAATAGGTTAGCTATAATAATCTGTGTGTAGATGATTGCCGCAGAAACACAAAATGCCAACCGTTAGAAATTATTCTGTACGACGTTATGTAAAACAGATATTTGCATGGTATTAGATTTTTTGTTAAAGTGTCTTGGTTAGTATTCACTTGCTGCTTGGGTTATTTTTTCTGATTTCTCGATATGCCTCGTGACGGTGTATAAAACTTATAATTTCTTTCAAACTACTGTTTTGATTGATAAACTTTCGCACTAAATCAGTTAACTTTAACTACATTTTTATACAACCGACTCCAGCTTTCTCGAAAATCAGTAACAATTGTACTTTCGTAAAAAATTGAGGTTCCCAGTCATTTTAGCACAGAAAAACTATCATTCACGTCTTCTTTTTCTCGGTTAGTACCGTTTTAATCAAGCGCGCAGATTAAGTTAAATCTGAACTAAAATATCACATTTCGCCTTTTTCGGGTGTGCGAAATTAAATCGCACGAATTTAAGACTGAGCGAAAATTAGAACCACGCAAATTTAAATACAAGCAAAGTATATACTGTCAATTTAAAATATCTATTTCTGCATTTTTCTCCTAAGACTACATTTCTAATGCAAAGTATACTATATACATATATTCAGCCAGGGACGTCGCGAAGCTCGGGTTGTGTGTTACCGCAAATCCTCTATTAAGACCCCACCCCCCTAAAAAAACTTCCCTCCAATTATCAATCTCTAATAAGTTATATATAAATACATCAATTAGTACTTCCTTCTCCAATACAAGCACCCTCCCCCATCCCCTTCATATATAAACACATGTTCACCGAATAGATTTAGACAAATTATCCTGGACGTTTATGTTAGATTTTAGGTTACCACGTTTAGATATCTTAATCATGATCATAAGTCCCCTATTTCTATTATACCTCCCTCTCCAATAAACATCCCCTCAAACGTGCCATAAATAAATTGGAGCTTAATAGAGGATTTACTTCACGAACGCAGTCATGTAGTGTAACACACATAAATTTTCATTGACAATTATATCATTCACATTGCAATTACGTTTCAGAGGCTTGGTTCATATTTTGGATTCAAAATTCAGACAATTTTGCTATTAAATTCATTGAGCAAAGCTCTATTTCATTCCAAACGTGAAAGTAATATTGTATAACATGCCTTGTTAGACATAGGTTTCATAATACTCTTAAACAGAATCAAACATTAAGACATAACACATTTGTTTCGACTGGGCAACCAGTATAGCGTATGAAACGAAAATGCAAAATAGACATTTTTTTCCATCTGACTGACAGATGAATGGAACGTCTTGTACGAATTTAAATACAGACACTAGTATGAAACAGACCTCAGATGTGGAAATGGTCTCGCGGTGGCTGATTGTGAGACCCAAAGGATTTTTTTGTAATTTTCGAAACTCTAACACTGTATTTTTAGCATTTATCGAAACGAAATTGTAAATGATTGAATTGTGTTTCTTTCAAATATTTTTTGAACAAGTTGTCATTCCAAACACCGCATGTATTTTTATTCAAATTTCATGTAAAATTTTAGAATAAAAATCCACCTAAGTGTTACATCTCCTAATACGCGACGTCCCTGCTTGTGGAAAAAATTATGTTACTAAATTCACTAATGCATATACTATTTTACAACTTGAGTCAATACCGCTGATCTCAAAACCGGATAGACTGGATAGAGCACCACATGCATAAATGAAGTCAACGACGGCCATATTGGTGTAACCATAGTAAATCTACAGTGGTGTTGCTGACATACTAGAAGACGTTCTTAAAGTTTCTGGTGATTGGTAAAAATAAAAAATATTGCCTAGAGAGAAATTGGTTATTAGTGGCTTCTGACGGTTCCTTCTGAAATTTGCCAGTGAATAATTGATGACGTCACGTGACAATATGGCCGCCTCAAGTCTCATTATCTCGTGTTTAAAATTATCTAAACAAACTCATTGGAAGAAGTATGGGGCGTATGGCTATATCTTTCAAGTTACGTAGAAGAAGATATTTGCTTGGTACTATAACTAATTTAAACACGTAACGATTTGATTCGTAAGGAATGTGACAGATTTAAAAATCTTTTCCCATTATAAATATTCTAGTTTCAAAATTAATTCTCTGAATTCAAAAAGTTGCTCTATCCAGCCTAGTTTTAAGATCAGTGGTCAATACCTTCATTAGTATTCAGAATTTAAGTAAAGCAGTGGGTTTGTTAACTACGTGGGATCACCATGGGGTGAGAGCTCTGTATAGGGTCAAGTTCCCAACTCACGGCTTATGTGATTGAAGTTTAAAGTGAATATCACCCATAAGTCAATCATTTCAGAATCAATATCAGGTAAATAGACTAATATTTAGATATCTCATAACGCGAATGAGAAATTCCTGAGTTAAAGAGTTTTATAACTTGAATAATGTAATAGGAGAAATTTCCATATACTCGCTGTAACTGTATAAAACACTGAAAATTATACCCCATAATAGGCAATTCCAGCTTTTAATTTATGCGCGCAGGGGGTGACGGGAAGTAAGCTATCATACAGGGCGTATAAAAAAAACGCAACCTCGGAATTTCCTAAGAAATCCACCTTGCAATTCTCAAGCATAAAAGATTTTAGGCCCCTGGAAATTGAAATCGAATTGCTAATAGATCATATTACTGTTGTTGTACTGTACTTGTAAAATAGCAACGACATTAAATAAATGCATAAATTTTGCTTTATGCACTCGCGTGTGCAGTAATTTTGACAGTTGTGCTATTTTAAATTTCCAGGCACCTAAAACCTTTTGTCCTTAAAACAATGTCGATTTCTTGGGAAATTCCGAGGTTGCGTTTTTTTCTATACACCTTGTATCGCTTATTGGGCAGAAAAATGTCAACAAAAACTGCCGAAACAACCGAAATATTTCAATATTTACAAGTATAAGCTATCACTCCGTGTTTACCCGGCAACCATTTTTATTTTTTCAGCATAATCAGCAATATGATACCTTACTTCCCATCCTCTCCCCTGCACGCATAAACTAAAAGCTGGAATTGACTATTATATTCCTCATGGATAAAATTCCGGATAACTTTCAATAAAATCGCTCAAATCAACAAATACTTTATCATGTAACTATAAACTTATGATATGTAATCAATACGGAATATAATCCATTTTGGGTGAGAGCCACTTTAGGAAAGCCAGTCTGAACAATATGAATCTTTATATTCGACTTCTCTGC